TTACTTTTTTTAAAAAAAAAGAGGGGGCGGCTTCCCTGGTGGCGCAGTGGTTGAGAGTCCACCTGCCGATGCAGGGGACACAGGTTTGTGCCCCGGTCCGGGAAGATCCCACATGCCGCGGAGCGGCTGGGCCCGTGAGCCATGGCCGCTGAGCCTGTGCGTCCGGAGCCTGTGCTCCGCAACGGGAGAGGCCAAAAAAGTGAGAGGGCCCCGGTAACGAAAAAAAAAAAAAAAGAAAAAGAAAAAGAAAAAGGAGAGGGGGGACCCCAAAGGGCTTTTTGTTTATATAAGTGACAGCAATTAATAGTTACTTTATTAGAAATTAAAACCTACAGGATGCTTCAGTGGCTTTTTTATTTCTAGTATGAAAAGCTGCAGTAATTTTTGCCTTTAAGAAGCTCATAATGTCTACACTTAAAACCATTCAACTCCTTTTTCTTCAAGCTCTAAATGATTGGTCTCAAAGTGATGCCACGGCTTAACTGGCAGGATGATCCTCTAAAAAAATGTTCTGAAAAGTATGCAAGACCAAGAGAACACTTAAACAAATTGGTTAAAAATAATGACACGTGGGGGCATATATATACACACATATATATATTAAGCTAACTATTTGCCATTTTAGAATACTTACTGCCAGGAACTTTTTCTATAAATTTAAAATCATTTTTATATATACATTTGTATATGTATACATATTATGCATATTTATATAAGTTATGTATAAATATGTACATATAACACACACATACACACACAAATACATATATAACACAATATATAAAGCTTCCATGGGACAGTTTCCTGACCAGATGTTTAGAAGAGCTACAGCCTGCATATCAAGTGACATTTCCTGGACAAGACCCTATTGTGAAGAGAGAGGAAAACCTACCAACTGACACAAGCCTAGCACAGAAAGCTTCTAGTAAACAGGTAAGCCTGGTTCTGACCTTGGAGGCCTACAATCTGGGCCACACTGGGGGGCTGCCATCCTCCAGCAGCGACGCCAGGCCAACACCACTGTCCCTCCTGCCCCCAGAGCCAAGGACAGCCTGCAGGTCCAGATGCAGGGAAACAGGTCGACCACCTCGGCCAGCTGTGCTTGAAGAGTATGAGCTTCCTCAAAAACACCCTCAAGGCCTAGAAAGGGCCCCCAAACCTGGCAAGAAATGACAGACTCTTGTTTCCTGCGATGGATCCAATGGAAATTCAAGCTCTGGGCTAGTAATTTATATGAGCATTTTCAATTTTTGCCAATAAAAAAATATAATTTCTTTCTTTAAAAAATTAATAATTATGGGCTTCCCTGGTGGCGCAGTGGTTGAAAGTCTGCCTGCTGACGAAGGGGACACGAGTTCATGCCCCGGTCCGGGAAGATCCCACATGCCGCGGAGCGGCTGGGCCCGTGAGCCATGACCGCTGAGCCTGCGCGTCCAGAGCCTGTGCTCCGCAACGGGAGAGGCCACAACAGTAAGAGGCCCACATACTGCAAAAAAAAAAAAAAAAAAAAAATACTAATTATATAATCTATATATTTACAACTGTGTTACTATATAATTTTTATATATATTATGATTTTAGAATGTATAGAAAAAGTTTAGTTTTCTAAAATGCTAAGTAGTTTTATTAATAATGGTAAGATTATCAGAGATTAAACAGCTTGTCCAAAGTCACAGCTAGTGAGTGGCAGAGTTGGGATTCAAAACCAGTCCTCAGAGCCATGTTATTCTGATTCTCCATGTGGTTTTTCTTTTCTTTTTTTTTTTACTTTTTATTATGGAAATTTTAAACACACATAAAAGAAGAGAGACCAGCATAATGAACCTCCATGTTCCCATTTTGTCTCTTTTTCAACTACATCTCCTCCTCAACACACTTCTATGTTGTTTTTGAGGGAGTATTTTAAAGCAAATCCCAGATATCATACCATGTCATCCATAAATATTTCAGTTTGTGTCTCTATAAAGGACTTTGTACTCAGCCCAAGTCCAACTGTTCTATATTGCCTCAAAAATTATTTGTGACAGGGCCTTCCCCGGTGGTGCAATAGATGAGACTCTGTACTCCCAATGCAGGGGGCCCGGGTTCAATCCCTGGTCAGGAAACTAGATCCCACATGCATGCCACAACTAAGAGTGCACATGCCACAGCTAAGGAGCCCGTGTGCCACAACTAAGGAGCCCACGAGCCGCAATTAAAGAGCCCACCTGCCGCAACTAAGGAGCCCACATGCTGCAACTAAGGAGCCCGCCTGCCACAACTAAGACCTGGTGCAACCATATAAAAATAAATAAATATTTTAAAAAATTATTTGTTACAGTGGATGTGGTAGAATGGGGATCCAACCAATGCTCCTAAGAAAGGGAAGGAGGGAGGGAAAAAAACCAAAACCAATGCTACCTTTGTACATCTATTTGATGAATATGGACAAAGGCTGAGGACAGATTCCAGAGGTTAACATTCTTGGGAGAGGGTAGAGGGTCAGAGAAATCATGCTTTTAATACATTTTTACATGCCTTCCCTGTGGCAGTGAGCACATATGTAAACTTCTGAGGTGCAGTCAGCCTTGGGCGGTGCAGAAAGGCCAATTCCGGAGCACAGTACAGAGCAGCCCTCATGGACAGGGACCCAGGCAGTCTACCACTTCCTTAGGAACAGTGACCACAGGATGTTTCCTCTTGGTAGTTCTGGACCTGCTCACTACTCCTGCAAATCCATTTGCATAGGAAAGGGATAACAATAGCATCCCCTACATTTAAAAAAAAAAAAAAAAGGAGAAAAAAAGAATTATTGTACCAAGGTCCCTGATAAAGAACAGTCCTCAATGGGTTTGGTTAGGACTGCATTGTATTCTTTTCTGTACTCCCAGCACCCAGCCCAGGGCCAGAACGTGGACACTTGGCAGATGGTGGCTGGGAAAAGAGACCAGGGAACACATGGGCTCACTGGTGCTCTCTTCTTCTGGCTCTTCAAGGACAGCAGCAAACCTCAGGCCATGTGAGATTCCAGCTATAAGACACCACCAAGAGGTGGCCTTTGAGAGGGATGTCGACCTGATTTGTCCCACTGCAGGACAGATGCCATTCCTTGATTCTGTGCTGTATCCCATTGTTTTTTTTGGTTTTTTTGCGGTACGCAGGCCTCTCACTGTTGTGGCCTCTCCCGTTGCGGAGCACAGGCTCCGGACGCGCAGGCTCAGCGGCCATGGCTCACGGGCCCAGCCGCTCCGCGGCATGTGGGATCTTCCCGGACCAGGGCACGAACCCATGTCCCCTGCATCGGCAGGTGGACTCTCAACCACTGCGCCACCAGGGAAGCCCTCCCATTGTTTTTTTAAACCAATAAATCTGTGCCACAATAGCAATCACCAAAAACTACTATAGAAACTGAGTCCTCTAACTGTATCCTAAAAGTTTACTCCATCACCCTATGACAGCTCCTCTGGCCACCCAGCCCAGAGGCGCTCACTTTACAGGCAGGTTATAGTTCACACCACAGGAAGGAATCAGAGGTGAATTCAAATTAACTACCAAGACCCGCTCAGAACAACTCCTCTTCTTGGGCTGCCTCTGGGAGGGGTGGTCTCCAATTGTAATGCCCAAGAAGTGAAAAGTTTCCTATTCTATTACCACTTCCACAAAGAATTACCTGAAGATCAGAAATCTAATGTGTACGGTCAGATCTTTAATACTGAGTCCCCTTTTCCCCAAAAGTACTTAAAATGTTTAAACCAAAATGAGTTTTACCCCTCATAAATCTCTGATTAGAAAAATATTTATTTTTCACCATATTTTATTTCTACAAAAACCAAGCCAAAACTGATTTAAGTTTGATTTTTCAGTTTAAAAACTCCACACATAAAAAAAGGAGCAGTACTGAGAATATAAAAAGAATTCCAAAAAAACCCCACAAAAGATTCCAACTCTTCAGGTCTAAATAATGTAAAGTCCAAACAAAGACAGTAATTTTTCCCTTAGACTTAACGACGAATTTGTCTCCAACAGAGAAGCATTTGGAGATGCTATTTTTAAAAACGCTGCCACGATATTGTGGCTCTACAGATGCTTTCCTCTGCCCTGCAAAGGACTCGCTGCTCTTGAGGGCAGTTTCCACTCCAGTGGCCCCTTTTCCTGCTTCCCTGCTCAGGGCTCATTCCTGGAGGACTCAGCCCAGTAAATTCGAAGCAAGAAATGGAGGGACTCAGTCCAATCAGGATTTATCCACTGAGAGTTCAAACAACCGGTTAGCAATGACACTGTGCAACTCAGGACCCTGCAGGGCTGCTGCGGCAGAGGGCTGGGTGACAGGCAGTACACAAGTAGCACTTCTATCAAAGATAAGCCTAGAACATTTCACAGCTCCTGTTAAATATTTGTTTCCAAAACATAAGTTCAATTTTATTTTTAATGATTACTTGACTGTAGCATCTATTTATCAGTGTTCTCTCTCTACATAATTTTCATTTGCTACGTAAAAGACATAATGAAATTACTAACACTACACACATTTTGCCATAATCAACACACAAGGTTGCATATTTTATGATTCCATTTATATGAAAATTCAAACAAGTAAACCCTGAGAGACAGTAAGTAGATTAGTGGTGGCTAGAGGAGGGGAACGGGAAAGGACTGATAGTGGAGTGATGAAAATGTTAAAGAATTCGATTGTGGTGATGTGTACACGATTTTGTGACTATACTAATTTTGCTTCAGAATTCCTAGGAGCATTAGATTATCATTATCACCACAAACACAGAACCTCCCAAAAATGGACACAAGAGGAAATACAGGATGGCAGTTTTTTTTTTTTTTAAAGCATTTGACACTACTAAGTTCTAAAATCTTCTGATACAAGATCAAATGAGATTAAGGAAGGCCAAGGCCAGGACTGAAAGGGAGCAAGGGAGAGGAGGAAGGCTTTACCCTCCCAGCTCATTTACTGAAACCCAGGGTTAAAATCAGCGGGAAAAGCAGTGGAACAACAATAAGCCACCTACATTAGCCCCTGTGGAAAGCGTCAGCAGCCTAGCCTTTCCAGTCCTGAACAGGCATCAGCAACACCAACTCCATTTCAGCAAGACTGTTGGGAAGACAGGGAGAGGAAGAAGTAAACAATGGAAAATCCCAATGACATCAACAGTCCACATGTGCTCACTTAAGTCACAAGATATTTAACCATCTCTATGAGAATGTTCAGGAATGAGAGAGGAATAAAATCAAGAAACTAAGCTAATTATAATGAAAGAATTAGGAAAAAAAGGGGCTTCCCTGGTGGTGCAGTGGTTGAGAGTCCACCTGCCGATGCAGGGG